CACACTGCCCACCGTTGTACCCTCCACACTCCTCTCCTGCACACACTGCCCACCATTATACCCTCCAAACTCCTCTCCTGCACACACTGCCCACCATTGTACCCTCCACACTCCTCTCCTGCACACACTGCCCCACCATTGTACCCTCCACACTCTTCTCCTGCACACACTGCCCACCATTGTACCCTCTATACTCCTCTCCTGCACACACTGCCCACCATTGTACCCTCCACACTCCTCTCCTGCACACACTGCCCACCACTGTGCCCTCCACACTCCTTTCCTGCACACACTGCCCACCATTGTACCCTCCACACTCCTCTCCTGCACACACTGCCCACCACTGTGCCCTCCACACTCCTCTCCTGCACACACTGCGCACCACTGTACACTCCACACTCCTCTCCTGCACACACTGCCCACCATTGTACCCTCCACACTCCTCTCCTGCACACACTGCCCACCATTGTACCCTCCACACTCCTCTCCTGCACACACTGCGCACCACTGTACACTCCACACTCCTCTCCTGCACACACTGCCCACCATTGTACCCTCCACACTCCTCTCCTGCACACACTGCCCACCATTGTACCCTCCACACTCCTCTCCTGCACACACTGCCCACCATTGTACCCTCCACACTCCTCTCCTGCACACACTGCGCACCACTGTACCCTCCACACTCCTCTCCTGCACACACTCCCCACCCCTGTACCCTCCACACTCCTCTCCTGCACACTCTGCCCACCATTGTACCCTCCACACTCCTCTCCTGCACACACTGCCCACCATTGTACCCTCCACACTCCTCTCCTGCACACACTGCCCACCATTGTACCCTCCACACTCCTCTCCTGCACACACTGCGCACCACTGTACCCTCCACACTCCTCTCCTGCACACACTCCCCACCCCTGTACCCTCCACACTCCTCTCCTGCACACTCTGCCCACCATTGTACCCTCCACACTCCTCTCCTGCACACACTGCCCACCATTGTACCCTCCACACTCCTCTCCTGCACACACTGCCCACCATTGTACCCTCCACACTCCTCTCCTGCACACACTGACCACCATTGTACCCTCCACACTCCTCTCCTGCACACACTGCCCACCATTATACCCTCCACACTCCTCTCCTGCACACACTGCCCACCATTATACCCTCCGCACAGCCCGTACATCCCATAGAAGCAAGCAGATATAAAGGCAGATCTACAGGAGACCTGCATGGCACCAGCAATCTGCTGACCGCTGGTGCAATGCTTTCCAGGCTCCTGCTGATAAAAATGATAAATGCACAATTTTTTACTTGCAAAAAAAAAAGTACATTTATTATTTTTTTCTAAAAGGTGAACCAGACGCTGTGCTGTGTTTGTAAACAAATGGCTAGCGTTTTCTATACCAGGCACATATCCTAGATGATCTTAGAGGTCCTGGTAAAGATATTAATAAGGGATGCCATGCGTAAAAAAAAAAAAAAAGCGGTGGTTTTCCACCAAACTCCATATCAGGCTTTAGGCTACGTTCACACTAGCGTTGTGTGCAGGTGGCAGAGAGGCGTTTGGGAAGCGTTTTTTACCGCTTCCCAAACGCCTCTGCCAATTCTGCACATTACAGCACATGGTGCTGTTCTAACGGGAGCGTTTGCATCGCATCGTTGAAGCCTCCTATTCTCGTCTATGGTGCCGCTCCGCAAATGCCCGGCCGGCATTTGCGGTGCGGTTGCGACGCGGTTGCGAGGCATTTGTGGAGCGGTAACACCACTCAAACTGCATTATAGGCATTTGTGGGGCGTTGTTAACGCTCGGCAAATGCCTAGCAACCGCCGCTAAACCGCGCATGCGGCGTTTGCGGAGCGTTTGCGGAGCGTTTGCCGAGCGTTAAAAAACGCCGGACCAACGCTTGCCAAATGCTATAGGGGCGTTTGGCAAGCGTTGGCAAAACAGCCAAGTGTGAACGAGCCCTAAATCTGAGTATGCAGCCTGGCAGGTCAGGAAGGGAAGGGGGGGTGTTGCATCACCACAACCAGACCAAATGCCCTCAACATATTGATAAGGACAAGGGTATCTTCCCCACTGCCCTGGCCTGCAGTGGTTGTGGTGGTCTGCAGGTGGAGAGCATAACCCCTTTCCAACCACCCTATAGCACAAAATCACATGTGTATATACTTGATTTTGCATTTCAGGGTAGGGGCTGCGTACACTTGACCTACCCACACACCGCAATTCCCGGGCAAGGCTGTCAATCACTAGGTCCCGGCCAGTGATTACTCACCAGCGCCCAGTAATTGCCGAGGATCTCCGACGAGGGGGAGGGACTGTTGGTAAAAAAAAACTGTTCTCCTCCCTGTCAGCTTGTGCACAGCACAGCCATCCAAAGCAGTGTGCTTACAGTGAAGCACACAGACACAGTGTGACGATCGCGCTTCAGACCCCTGACCTTCTCACCAAACTCAACCGAAGGACTAGCCAATCTGAAACCGTGATGTCACGTGCGTAACAATGCCAGGCCCAGCTGCACCCTGCACAGCGATTTTCCAGCGAATGGACCACAAATCGATGTACCGGCAGCCTGAATGCGATTGTTACTGGGTCAGGTTAATTACACAATTAACCCTTCACACTAAATATAAACAGTGCAGCGCTAAAGATAAATATACAACACAAATAAATGCAAAAACCCCCCAATGCACACAGGGGGTACAATATAAACAGTGCAAAACGTGACTTCCATGTGGGAATAATTAGTGTACATGTGACCAGTGTCCTATCCGACACTCGGGAAGACCACTCATATAAACCATTAATAATGTCAATATAATAAATCCCCCCCCCAAAAAAAATGTCCAATCTTAGTGCTCAATATAAAATGCTCATGCAAGTGCTGATATGTGTTCACTCCGTGCAAATCCTTAGTGGCGGAAGTGCCCCCTCACCTCCCTATATCGACCCTACAGGGTCAGCTCGCTCTGAGTGTTAAACCCCTCTGAATGGTACCAGGATAGTTGCCAAGTCCACTTCAGCGTACTCCAATCCTTCCATACACAGCCCTGTCAGCAATCTCCTCTGCAAACCATATGTAAACAAAAAGCCTCCATAGTGTAAAACCGTTTTTTAATGGGGTATGTAAACAATAAAAATGCCCACTCACATGTTCCTTCGCCTTTGATACTGCTATTCTACCTCATGCTAGAGATGTACTGCATGAGTATTTAATACAGGAGTTTCAAATATGGCTCCCACGCCGGAAATGACGTCACCGTGCACCCGGAAATGCCTCCTCGCGTACCGACGCGTTGCGTCACGAGACAAGTGACTTCCCCAGGGTTTTATTTTTTTTTCAAAATTATATATAATGCAAAAAATAAAAGAAGCAACAAACAATCAAATACCACCAAAAAAAAGCTCTATTTGTGGGGAGAAAAAGGCCTTAAATTTCATTTGGGTGCAGCATTGCATGACGGCGCAATTGTCAGTTAACGTAACACAGCGCCATAACGGAAAAAATGGCCTGGTCAGGACGGGGGGAAATCCTCTGGAGGGCAAGGGGTTGAACCTGAAAACATATTAATTACACAGGTTCTGAGGCTAATGCAATGCAGATAAGGCACTATAAGACACTATAAGGAACCGGTGTCATTAATATGTGTTTGGGTTTAAAGGATTTTGGTGGCCATCTTAATGTAATCCAGCCCATTACACATTGCAGGGGTGTATGTTCATAGGATTTTAAGAGCCCAGCAATCCCAGGAGGGAGAGGTTAGGCATGGGGATGTCACCCTGCTCGGGATTTGAGCGTGGATTTTTTTATATGGCTGGGGAGTGTGCATGATCGGGTGCCCCATAGCAAGCTGCTTGCTGTGGGGGCACCTGACAGGAGGGAGGGGCCAGGAGCGCCAGCAGAGGACCCGAGAAGAAGAGGATCTGGGCTGTTTTCTGCAAAACCACTGCACACAGCAGGTAAGTATAGACATGTTTGTTTATTTTATTTTTTAAAATTTAAACCTTTAGAATCACTTTGAATCAATTTACACATATTTGGATTTTTTTTTAGCAAAGACATGGAGCAGAATACATTTTGACCTAAATTTATGATGAAATTTGATTTTTTTTTTTTTTTTTTTTTTACTGGACATGTTTAATAGCAAAAAAGTCATATATATATATATATATATATATATATATATATATATACATATATATATATGTATATATAAACATATATATATATTTTTTCAAAATTATATATAACGCAAAAAAAAATAAAAAATGCACAAACAATCAAATACCACCGAAAGAAAGCTCTATTTGTGGGGAAAAAAAGAGTTAAATTTAATTTGTGTGCAGCATTGCATGACCGTGCAATTGTCAGTTAAAGTAACACAGCGCCATAACGGAAAAAATGGCCTGGTCAGGACGGGGGGGAATCATCTGGAGTGCAAGGGGTTAAACCTAAAAACATATTAATTACACAGGTTCTGAGGCTAATGCAATGCAGATCAGGCACTAGGTGAGTTTAATTACCACCTTAATCAGCCACAGAACCGGTGTCATTAATATGTGTTTGGGTTTATAGGGATTAGGTGGCCATCCTAATGTAATCCAGCCCATTGCACATTGCAGGGGTGTATGTTCATAGGATTTTAAGAGCCCAGCTATCCCAGGAGGGAGAGGTTAGGCATGGGGATGTCACACTGCTCGGGATTTGAGCGTGGATTTGTTTATATCTCAATTTGGTGCCAGAAGGGTTAAGTGATTGTGTGCATTATATGTAATGATGGCATTTGCCGCTAGAGGTCTCAGTAAGGACCCACAGTGGACCCAACCAGTACTATGAGGGCCGGTCTTAGTTGGTTGCTTTGTCTTAGTTGAATGAAGCAATTTCGTTTTGCTGGAATGAATCAGTTTCAGTTTCATTTTGCTGCAATGAAGTGGTTTCATTTTACTGAAGTTACAGAGAGGTTTTATTTTAATTGGATTTAATTGTTTCTTATATACACTATATTGCCAAAAGTATTGGCCCGCCCTCCCAATCATGTGATTCAGGTGTTCCAATCCCCTCCCAATCATGTGATTCAGGTGCTCCAATCCCCTCCCAATCATGTGATTCAGGTGCTCCAATCCCCTCCATGGACACAGGTGTATACAATCATCCCCTAGGCATGCAGACTGCTTCTACAAACATTGGTGAAAGAATGGGTTGCTCTCAGGAGCTCAATGACTCCAAGCGTGGTCCTGTGATAGGTGGCCACCTGGGCAATAAGTCCATCTGTGACATTTCCTGACTACTAAATATTCCACGCTCAACTGTTAGTGGGATTAAAACAAAGTGGAAGCAACTGGGAACAACAGCCACTCAGCCACCAAGTGGTAGGCCACGTCACATGACAGGGCGGGGTCAGTGCATGCTGAAGCACACAGTGCGCAGAAGTCACCAACTGTCTGCAGAGTCAATAGCTAAAGACCTCCAAACTTGGTGTGGCCTTCAGATGAGCCCAACAACAGTGCGTAGAGAGCTTCATGGAATGGATGTGTCTGGGGTTGCCAGGAGAACGGTACTTGCCTGACTGCATTGTGCCAAGTGTAAAGTTTGGTGGAGGGGGGATTATGGTGAGGGGTTGTTTTTTAGGGGTTGTGTTACGGATCCGCCAGGTGGTACCTCTGGCAGCCCACTAGGCGGAATCACCCGGAGCGTGGAGTCTAAGTCCCGGTCTGCGTTTTCACCAGGGCCCCTGATGGTGGGGATGGACTTGGAGCAGAACCAGGACCAGGTCACGACCTCCGAGCAATACCACCAGTGGCAGAGGGAGCCTCCGGGGATGCGAGTAAGACAGAATAGAGCCAGATGTGAGGAGGCCGGCAGGACCAGGCAGGATAAACCAGCGGTTGTCACCGTGGGGAATGGCGAGGTACAGAGATGGCAGGCAGAGAGTGGTCAGGTCACATGCATGGTCAGTACCGGAGTCAGTCCGCAGAATGGTCAAACAAGCCAGGGGTCGGGATAGGAGAAGGCAGCATAGTCAGAGGCAATCCGGGTCAAACACAGGAGAAGGCAGCGTAGACAGATAATCCGGGTCAGGGCAGGAGCAGGCAGAAGGTCAAACAATCCGGGTCTTTAATCACAGGGCACAGGTAACTTCGGGTAACAGGTCAGACCTTGCGGCGATTTGTGACAGTGCAGGGCATCTTTAAATATCGCGCCCTGCACTGTCATTGGCCACCCAGGACGCGCCCCCAGGCTGTCATTAGCCGCCCGAGGCGCGCCCGCGGCTCCTACTGCACATGCGCGGCCTCCTGTCAGCCGCGGCCCGCCGGGACCTGGTGCTTGTGTCCCGGCGTGAGCCGCCGCTAGTGCGCATGTGCCGGGGACGGAGCCGCGGCGGTCCCTGACAGGTTGGGCTTGGCCCCCTAGTTCCAGTGAAGGGAACTCTTAAGGCGTCAGCATACCAAGACATTTTGGACAATTTCATGCTTACAACTTTGTGGGAAGAGTTTGGGGATGGCCCCTCCCTGTTCCAACATGACTGCACACCAGTGCACAAAGCAAGGTCCATAAAGACATGGATGAGTGAGTTTGGGGTGGAGGAACATGACTGTCCTACACAGAGTCCTGACCTTAACAAGATAGAAAACCTTTAGGATGAATTATAGCGGAGACTGCGCAGCCAGGCCTTCTCTTCCCACATCAGTGCCTGACCTACACAACTAGAGCATAATGGACCCAATCAGCATCATAGCGGTACATACCTACAAAAACAGAACACAATGGAAGCAACTAGTATCAAGGTGGTACATGCCTACACAAATAAAGTACAATGGACCCAACCAGTGTCATGGTGATATATGCCTACACATAAAAACAACAATGGGCCCTACCAGCACCATGGAGGAACATGCCTACACATAAAAAGAACAATGGGCCCAACCAGCACCATGGAGGAACATGCCTACACTATAAGAGTATAATGGACCCAATCAGCATTATTGCGGTACATGCCAACCCGAACAGAACACAGTGGACCCAACCAGTATCATGGAGGAACATGCCTACACAATAAGAGTATAATGGACCCAATCAGCATCATTGCGGTACATGCTGACCTGAACAGAACACAGTGGACCCAACCAGTATCATGGAGGAACATGCCTACACAATAAGAGTATAATGGACCCAATCAGCATCATTGCGGTACATGCTGACCCGAACAGAACACAATGGACCCAATCAGTATTATGGTGGTACATGCCTACACAAAGAAAGCACAATGAACCCAACCAGTACCATGGTTGTACATGCCTACAAAAAGAGGGCAGAATGGACCCAACCAGTATCATAGCGATACTTGCCTACACAAAGAGAACACAATGGACCCAGTCAGTATCAAAGCAGTACTTGCCTACACAAAGAGAACACAATGGACCCAACTAGAACCTTGTCGATACATAACTGCACAAAGAAAGCATGATGGACTTAAACAGCATCAGCGGCGATACATGCCTACACAAAGAGAGAATAATGTACCCAACCAGCACTATGGTGGTTCATAACTACACAAAGAGAGCACAATGGACTCAAACCAAAATCATGGCTGTACATGCCTAGATAAAGGCAGCATGTTAGCCCCAACCAGCAAAGACTTTAAAATGTACTGGAGTCACTCACCGTCAGCCAGATAAGTTGTGGATCATGATGAGCTTGGGTTCATCTGAACCTGGAAGTTAGCTGTCATTGTTGGCCAAAGAGCTTCAGACAGTATTCTACTCCTACAGATGGTATTTTCCGGCGTATAAGACGACTTTTCAACCCCTGAAAATCTTCTGAAAAGTCGGGGGTCGTCTTATACGCCGGTGCGAGCCGGTGTCAGGGCGGCACTTTTTCGAGGGCCGGCGTGGGCCGCCCCCCCTCCTCCTCCAGCGGACACTAAGTACAGGGGTGGACAGAGGGGCTGCTGTACCTTACCTGGCTCTGGTCTCACGACGATCCGGTCCAGGAAGCGCGGCTGCTCCTTCTTTCAGTTCGGCCGCTCGATGGTCACGCGGCCGCTCGGCTCCGCCTCCTCACCGGTGATTGGGGCGCCAGCACTGGAAAGGCACACAGGCGACCAATCACCGGTGAGGAGGCGGAGCCGAGCGGCTCTGCGAAAATCGAGCGGCCGCACTGGAAGAAGGAGCAGCCGCTCCTCTCCCCCACTGACACCAATGATGAGGCACTGTTCCTCCTCCCCACTGACACCAATGATGGGGCACTATTCTCCCCACTGATACAAATGATGGGGCACTATTCCTCCCACTGACACCAATGATGGGGCACTATTCCTCCCACTGATACCAATGATGGGGCACTATTCCTCCCACTGATACCAATGATGGGGCACTATTCCTCCCACTGACCCCAATGATGAGGCACTATTCTTCCCACTGACACCAATGATGGGGCACTATTCCTCCCACTGATACCAATGATGGGGCACTATTCCTCCCACTGATACCAATGATGGGGCACTATTCCTCCCACTGATACCAATGATGGGGCACTATTCCTCCCACTGACACCAATGATGGGGCACTATTCCTCCCACTGATACCAATGATGGAGCACTATTCCTCCCCCACTGATACCAATGATGGGGCACTATTCTCCCCACTGATACCAATGATGGGGCACTATTCCTCCCCCCCACTGATACCAATGATGGGGCGCTATTCTCCCCACTGACACCAACGATGAGGCACTATTCCTCCTCCCCACTGACACCAATGATGGGGCACTATTCTCCCCACTGATACCAATGATGGGGCACTATTCCTCCCACTGATACCAATGATGGGGCACTATTCCTCCCACTGATACCAATGATGGGGCACTATTCCTCCCACTGACACCAATGATGGGGCACTATTCCTCCCACTAATACCAATGATGGGGCACTATTCCTCCCACTGACACCAATGATGGGGCACTATTCCTCCCACTGATACCAATGATGGGGCACTATTCCTCCCACTGATACCAATGATGGGGCACTATTCCTCCCACTGATACCAATGATGGAGCACTATTCTCCCCACTGATACCAACGATGGGGCACTATTCCTCCCCCACTGATACCAATGATGGGGCACTATTCTCCCCACTGATACCAACGATGTGGCACTATTCCTCCCCCACTGACACCAACGATGGGGCGCTATTCTCCCCACTGACACCAATGATGGGGCGCTATTCTCCCCACTGATACCAACGATGGGGCGCTATTCCTCCCACTGACACCAACGATGGGGCGCAATTCTGCCACTGAAACCAATGATGGGGTGCTATTCCTCCCACTGACTCCAATGATGGGGCACTATTCCTCCCATTGATACCAATGATGGGATGCTATTCCTCCCACTGATACCAATGATGGGCCACTATTCCTCCCACTGACACCAATGATGGAGCACTGTTCCTCCCACTGACACCAATGATGGGACACTATTCCTCCCACTGACACCAATGATGGGGCACTATTCCTCCCACTGACACCAATGATGGAGCACTATTCCTCCTACTGACACCAATGATGGAGCACTATTCCTCCACTGATACTAATGATAGGGCGCTATTCCTCCCACTGACACCAATGATGGGGCACGATTCTTCCCACTGACACCAATGATGGGGCACTATTCCTCCCACTGACTAATGATGGGGCACTATTCCTCACACACTGACACTAATGATGGGGCACCATCATTGGTGTCAGTGGGAGGAATAGTGTCCCATCATTGGTATCAGTGGGAGGAATAGTGCCCCATCATTGGTGTCAGTGGATGAAATAGTGCCCCATCATTGGTGTCAGTGGGAGGAGTAGTGCCTCATCATTGGTGTCAGTGGGAGGAATAGCACCCCATCATTGGAATACCATACTGAAATAGCATACCATATTGAAATCAAATCTGATGTTTTTTCATTTTTATTTGGTGTGTGTTGGAAGAGGGGTAGTCTTATACGGCGAGTATAGCTCAAACCCTATATTTTAACAGGAAAAGTAAGGGGTCGTCTTATACGCCCAGTCGTCTTATACGCCGGAAAATACGGTACTCAGAGAGGCAGGGATGCTCATGACATCATTGACCTAGTAAGACCACATGACCATATTAGGTCAATGTCATTGCCAGGGAATCTCCATTGGCCCAGCATTGGTAGCTAACTTCCAGGCTCAAACCAAACCCAAGCCAGAACAAAAGTTCAATACTACCCACAATCCATCTGACAGCAGTTCCAGTACATTGTAAAGCCATTACTTTCTAGGTCCATCATTGCATGTACTGCTTTGATGAGGCACTCATGTGTATTGAAAAATGCCAGTGGAAGGTGTGATGGTGGATCTAGTATGAGGCTAGCAGTGGGCCAGCAATGACAGTTAACTTCTGGGTTTTGGACCAAATTCAAGCTCATCCCTAA